TGTATTCCATGAGAACTAATCCCGAAAAACGAGCAATTATAAGTTAGGAAATAAACAAATCTAAGCGAATATTGTCTACAACGACAAAACCAATAGCTTCCATCCAAAAGCATTCATTTTCAACCCCATTTTTTTTCCCCGCCACAGATCTTTCCAGTTTGCGTTGCAAAATTCAATTTCCTGTATTATTATTTCCTTTTTTTTTTCGATAGACCTCGCCGTGCGTGAATTTCATTTCGACCGACCGATATTTTGATTTTTTGTTTTAATATTGGTCTTCTCTTCGTTTTTTTTATCGTTTGTTTTCTCACTTGTCGTCGTTGCGATTTTATTTGATTATGTGAATATTTTCGTTTTTTTTTGGTTTACACGCTTTTGGTTTCGCACAATAAACATGCAAATTTGTCGTCGGACAAATAATAATTGCAATAAAATGAAAATGCAGGATAAAAAAAAATATACGCGCCAGAGCAAAGCTAAATAAATAAATAATCAGATATCATGAATTCTGAATACAGGGATGGATGATCGTTATAAATGTATATACAGGGTGTAACTACCCTTAAATATTTCGGTAAAACAGAATTGTTAGTGATTTTTTTTTATTGTACAAAATTGATGTAAAAAAATATTGAAAATCTTCTGATTTTATTTTTATAAATCCTAGATTTTATACATAGAGATTTCAGAAATGTAAAAATAACATAAGGATATTGAAAACACATGTTTTTATGACCTTGAGACAATTCATATTAAGGTTATAGTTGTAATGTTTTACATCAAGATATAATAGAAAAAAAATATGTTCATGTTTAATAACTTGCCATATAACATAAACAAACAAATGGTCCAGTGTTGGATTTGTTTAAAATTGAAGAAAAAAAATAATCCCATAATTTTTTTTTTCTAAAATAAATAAAAATCTATTTTCTAAAATCGTGTATGCAACTATGGATTCGTCATTGATTCAATTACAATATGGAGCATAAAAGTACGTATAAATAATACTGAATAATTAAAAATGAAAAGATTCAGTAATGATCTTGAAAGCACAATAACTATGGGAGTATTTTCACAATATTTTTTCTAGTAATTTTAAATTTTACAAAGATATTTTTTAGTGGTCACATGGTATATGCACACATATATAGATAAATATGTATATCTGTATATTTTTTTAGAGGGAATTTCGTTATATAAAATTGGTGGGTGGAAATATTCAGATAATTTGAATTTTTTTTGAATTTCCAATTAGGACGCGGCGACACGAACACACACATAACACGTACATATACGTATATGCACAAACATGCGTAAATATACAGACAAACATACACAAACGCATATGGTTGAGCAGAGTCCGACCACCGTTGGGGGGGTTCGAATTATTAATATTATTATTTTGTGCGCTCAACAAACATGTTTGTTTTATTATTATTCGCATATCGAATGCGAATAGATGAATATAAGCGGGATTGTTTTTCAATTCGGTTTGTGATTTTCATCACAGGGGACGGCGCAATAAACCAAAGCGAAAAATATAAATAGTGGACAAGAGTGAGAGAGAGAGGATTTTACCAAAAACCAAACGAACATGGCAAAAATAAATGTTGGATAGACGAAAAAAAATAACAGAGGGAACACAAAAACCGGCGGTGGGTAAACTTCATTAGTTTATTATTCGCGTTAATTAACGGATTGCAAATTTCCCGTTCCTGTCGTTCTCTTGTTGTTTGAAACGTTGTTTGTTGTCTTTTTCATCAATTCACGAATGTTATATTTACTATACTATACCATAACTATAACATACCATTGTACAAAAGGACAATGAAAACAAACAAAAATATTAATTAAAGAACCTAGTGATTGTTTTTATGATTTGTGTCTTTGATGCTTGATGCCACATTTTTTCAACAAAAATAAATTTGTTTATACAATTATTTAATTAATAAATTTACTTTAATCAAGATAATTGACAAATTCAACCAATTGGACAGATGACATTTGAAAAATTGACTAAAAATAAATAAATCTTCTTTACTGAAATCGTATTACAAAATAGACATATGTCAACAAAAATGTGCAATTATTTTGTGTATTTCCAAAATTGTAAAGAGAAATATCTACAAAACGATTTCAACCAACATTGAAGTTTCTTCAAATAATGGTTTAAAAAAATGACATATGTCAAAATAAAATAAATAAATGTTCAATTATTTGATTTATTACAAAACGACAGTAAGAAATATTGAAGTTAAAATTGTATAATTATGTAATATTATGTGTTAATAATACGAGAAGTTAAATCATTTAGAACTACTACACGCAACGATAAGCCGTTTCCAAGTTTGTTCCGACTTCTTAGGAAGTCAATATAATAGTATAAACACGATAATAAGAGTATAACAGGGGTGATTATTAGGACACAAAAGAGATGCGCAATAATCGCAGGCAATATAAAAATATATGTGAGCGGAAGTAATGAACAATGGCATACGAACATAGTTTTTAAAAGGTAATAAGAGTAAGAATTTTAACTATTCGCAATAAAAGGTGATGTTTACAGTCCTAGCGTGCGGTTGTATGTTACGCCCTCGACTAAAAGGTAGTAACCCTCGAATAAAGCCAAAATCCCTTAGTAGGTGTTTTTAGGGTGTTGTAACCACCACTTTTAATGCGATCCGGGTGGAAGGACGTAAGCCGCACGAAGGTCGAAGTCTTTTTACCTGACAGGTGTCGATATGTGTCTATTAATTTGACAAAAGCAACGCAACTTCAAGTTCACCATTTCCTGTACAAAATATAGATTTCAAATCACTCTATGATTTTTCTATTGATTTTTTTTACATAATATATCTTTAAAAAATAATTGTATCAATTAAAAAAATACAGAAATAATTGCAGGCAATAAGTATAAAATAAATAAAGGAAATATATTATATAGAATTTATTCAGTATTTTCTGACTGATAAAATGTTTCATTTTACTGATAGTTATGTAATAAAAGAAGTCTAAATATCGAAAAAACTATATAAATTAATTAACAAAAAATAATATGTCATAATTAATGATATTTGTGCATATATAAATTTGTTTTGTTTGTTTCATTTTAAGTGAAACGAAGGTATGTCTATATGTATGAAAGTTAGGAAGTTGAATGAAATAATGATTTTTGTGGAGGACATAAAAATAAATGAGTTTACCTGGGATAAGGATGTTAATGATAATTATTACAGAGCTGCGAAAGTGTTTCGCACTCGCAAAACAATGAAAAACGTAACGGCAGTACTATATATACACTTATGAAAGTAAAGCATAGAAGATTATCACAATTAAAAGTTTTTGGTAACTAAGTTGTTAACTTTGTATCACTTCGCAATAACATTTAAAACATTCGGAGTTACTACTACTACGAAATACGTTCCTATATTGAAATACCAGCTTAATTAGTGCAGAGCTTCTAAAACTTTTGTATGATTTTATTAGCAAATATGAAATGAATGTGTAGTAAGACTTCGTTTAACGTTGTTTAAGTTGCGAAACAGCGTTAAATGAAGTCATATTAAATACTACGCGAATTACGCGTTGTATTTTTGTTAAAATTGTTTTTAATATCCCGCACTGTTTGAAACCGGACTAATCGGGAATTTAAAATAAGCTTGACTTTATAGATAATCAAAACGATCAGATAAAAATGTGAATCCGCACTGAATGAAGCCGTACTATTAGATTAAAATAAATATAGATTGAATAGTAATTGATTGTAAATAAATTTAGGAAATGAAAATTTGAAAAGATCGTATAATAAATTATTCGTAACTCATTTTCTATTCTATATCGCTATTATCTATGGATTTGTATAACACGGTTCTGAATAACACGGAATCAATAGGTAACGAATTATAACACGGTTGTGTTATAATTCGTTACGTGTTATTCAAAACCGTGTTATACAGATCAATACATACATTGACATTCGAAAGAAACAATATTATTTGTATAAATTCAAATTGGGGCTAATAAAAATGTTTAAATAAAATAAATAATTAGTTTAAAATATTTTCTGAAATTGAATGATACATTTTAAATGTATGTGTTTATTGTACATATTCATCCCCTAATAAAATTTTGTTCCGGTATAAATACAATTTTAAATAATTGTGCATTTACAGTACGAATATTTCAATTAAAAGTTTTTGATGCAGTTTTGCCTGGATTTCAGAGAAATCCTTAATATTATTTAATGTTTCACATATTGTAACTAATATGATTTATTATATATGTATAAATTAGCAAGTTGAATTTAATTTCAGTTTTGTTTTGCTCAATTAAAACAAATTTAATATTCTGTTTGTTTTATAAAGAAAATCAAAAAAATTATATGTATTAATTATTTCGCTTGTCTTTTCTTGATTATTATATAATACTTCATTAAATCGATAAAGAATTTGTTAAGGTAATGTGATATAATTTATCATTGTAAATTTTAAAAAAAATATGTAATTAATTAGTTTACTAGAAATCTGATTAGTATTTAGGTTAGTATTTTCAATTATTTGTCATAGTTGCCTAATTTTGGACCACTCATTTATTTTTAAATAGAATCTGTCAATTGGAAGAAAGTTAAACTTTACAATTTATTTTCAAAAGTTGAAAATTATTTTTATATATTATTTTGTTAAATTCTTTAATTTTTGTCTTATCGATGATGACTAAAGTCAAAATAAATGAAATTTGTTTATTGTGTTGGTCCGAGTATAGACAAAGGGATTCGTTAATAGGGCTGTGGATTTGTGCACGGTAAGTGCAGGTTAATGAGGCTGTACTGAGACACATAATCTATATGAGAATACGCAGTGTAGGGTATTATAATATGCTTCTTGTGCTTGTCTAAACAGACGGGCGCGTTGTGTTGTGCTACGAGCGCGGGGGGTTGTTCGGCCGCCTTACGCATTTGAAGCGGCGGCGCGCTCCGTCCCGTTATACGTCGTCGACGGCGCGGCGTTCCGACGCTCGCCTCAGTCGTCCGACAACAGTCTGACAGAGTGAACGCGCCAACCCTTCGTGCAAACGCGTCCCGACAACCACGACGAAAACTTCGGAATACCGCGAATTTCCACGTGCGTTTCTCAGTGTTTTTTTTTCTACCGAGCGAAGCTCATCCTGAAGGACCAGACACCTTCAGTAAGTCATTTTCTCACATTATATATATATATTTTTTTTTAACTTATACGCTTACGAAACTTTGCGCAACAATTAAGTTGTTGGATATAGTTAATTAGTCGATCGGAAAGCTCGAAGCTTCTCCTAAACGGTGCCGCGTGTTCCAATATGTAAATGTCACGCGCCGCCCGATGTTTCCGAAACCTCTCCACTAATGATGCTTCTTAATAACGTTGATATTTATAAAGCGGCTCTTCCATTTGTTTTCCCCTACACCTTTTCCTTCGCCGCAGGCCCTAATAATAGAAGACAAAACACAGTATTTAAAGACCGAAGTGTTGTTCTATCCACTTGCTGCCGCGGGGAACCCCCGCGACGGTACAAAGAAAAATCTTCCCGACGGCCCGAAAAGTTCAGTTTTCCAAAAGGTTTTTCAGTTCGTGTTTTTTTTTAAATTTTATTGTAACAACTTCCTTTGTTTGCTTTAAGTAGCTTGAAAGGACAATAGTGAAATATCGCACGGACTCCTATAAATCCAACTGGAATCAAGCATACACGGCTGTCACTGTATATACAAAGATAAAGTAATATTAATGAGTCCCTCACACCAGCGCCCACGCATTTTCACTGCATGCGCCCAAACGGTAACTTTAATATATTAAAGTTGCAGAGCTTCCATCCATCCATCCTCCAGCACAGAACCCTCAACACACCATTGTTTCAAATTTCTTTGCGCCTCCCCGAACTGACGGCGGAAAGCAACAGAAATATTTATATATATATATAAATAGGATACATATATACATATGATACGTATTGTATCATGCATATGTATCATAAAGGATAATGTAAACGCACAGGCGAACTTAACATACACGAAATTTGGGAACCGGATTGGCCGTGTGTTTGTTTGTGCGAACGGCGAGAGGTTTGGACAAGTGTCGCATAGGTGTCAAGACCGGGATTTATCTGGAAACCCAGGAGGATTCCGCAGAAACGCCCCGGCACACCGGTACTTCCTGAAACAGTTTTAATCCTCACCTATTACGCCCGACGCCCATAAATTACCAACTTACAATTAGTACTTGGTTATTAATTCGGCATTTCCATTGGAGATAGTACAAGTGGAATATTGTATTTACTCAGTAACAATACGCAAGTGAATCTTTAAATTTCCTAGAAAAACATTTTCAAAAATCTCAAAAATTATGCCTAGGTTCTGTATTTGTGTCCTTACAATTAACTAGAGTATTTATATGTGAATGAACAAATTTGTAAAAATATGTTCCATAAATTTGTCGTATTTATATGTCAATCAATTGTTTTTAATTACTTATTGAAAATTTCATATACAAGTTTTTAGATTAATTTCTTATTTTATTACAATTTCTGTATTAATCTACTAATGTCTAAAAAAAAAATCATTTTAGTACAAAAGATTCATAAAATGTCGTTTTTTTTTCCTTTGACGTCAAATCTCTTTTGTTTCTATTTTATTTAATTCCTCGATCAGTCCGGTTTGAAACAGTCCGCGATATTAGCGGAAGCAATTGTCCGTAATATACAAGGTATATCTGTACTTGTTTCTAGAAATTTTCATTGTTTGCTAATGCGGAAATTATAATATTTTTTTTGCAGTTTCATCACAAATTGTTACCTTCTTTTTATAAATGACAAAAAAAAACACCTATAACCTTTATAATTTAATGAAAGGAAAACATGAAATTCTTTGTAGAATATATTTTTTAAAAAGATTTTTTATATAATAACGAGTAATGAAAGGAAGGAAACGACGTGGAAGATAATAGGAAGACGGAATGGAATTAAGCCGCCCCCGCGACCGGCGATTCAATATTAATTCGCAGCGAGTTTTATTTTGGTCGAGCAAGAACTGTTTGCTCGGTACGGCACGTTGCTTTGACAGGCGAGAGCAGGTCTAAGTTCAATTAGTTCTTTGTTGTTCAACTGCTTTACTCAGACGCTGCTGTTTGCCATCCGATATGAATTGCGCTTACGTTTAATTGAAACTAGTCCACAGATGAGGATTTTGGCTGCAGTATCCTTTCGGATAAAAGAGTACAATAATGCTTTCTGCAATAAAGTTGTTTAGATTAAAATACTTCAGTAATCTTCGAATCTTTAAATTACAGTCAATTTCGCTTAATCAGGACACCGGATAATCGGTAAAGCCGCTTATTAGGGACAATATAACAAATGGAACTTCGGATACTAGTCTCGATGTGTCACGATTGAGCGGAATCGACTGTACTTCCGAAGTCCAACTTAAATTTGTTGCCATGTAATCTTACGTTCCATTCATTCATTACTTCTTCATTCAATTAATTCGTTACACATACATATGCAATCCAATACCACACATGTTTCTATTACAAAGTACTAATTAACACTCCATAGTTAACTTCTATGAAGCGTTAATTACGTAATATTGTCGGAATATCTTAATCCTAATTAATATTTCAACTATTACATTTCACAAGTTTCCTGATCAAACGAATTTACAAATAATACCACATGATTAATCCAATATTATATAAGATTTCTCTTTTAGTAAATACCGTGTTATTAAAAATGACATGAAAAATCGTGTAAAAAAAGTTACTTTGAACTTTGTAGTTTACGTAAATAGTTTGTTTTTAATTTTAAATATTGTACGAATTATACAAATTTTTATTAAATGATGTGATTTGTATATAAAAGTTAAACAATTGGATGCTGTCACCCACGTTTCATTAAATAGAAATTAAGTAATATATGTAGTATTGATTTACTCATTTAACACTAGTTTTATGTAGTTAATAATAATCGTAATTAATATTATATAAAATTGATTCCTGTAAATTTATTTTGTCATGTTTCTTTTTTTATAACGTAATACTTTCAATAGTATACAAAAAATTCTACATTTCATTCCGAAATTAATTTACGCGTAATGTTTATACAAACTGTTTATTAAATCGTGCATTTCCTTTATTTGTTTTCATTTTCCACATGTTATAGATACGTCTATGAACCATTATTACGAATTTCGCGTTTCAAATAAACAGTTCGGTTTTACGCCATCATAACTGAAACAAACAATATTGAATGCATGAAAAATTATATATGTAACATTGAATTCGGATTCTAAAAATGCATTTTCAATTTACAAAATAAAAAAAATTACTTTCCCTCATCATATTACCAATGTGGCGCAATGTTAATTTTCTAGTACAAATCTAATGAATATACAGTTGGGATCGACTTTTCATTCAGAAATTAATTTACGACTAATGTTTATACAAACTTTTTATTAAATCGTACATTTCCTTTATTTCTTTTCATTTTGCACATGTTATAGATATGAACTATGACCTATGAACTATAAACCATTATTACGATTTTACGTTATTATAACTGAAAGAAACAATATTGAACGTCTGAAAAATTATATATGTAACATTGAATTCGGATTCGAAAAATGCATTTTCAATTTACAAAAAAAAATCTTACTTTACCTCATCATATTACCAATGTGTCGCAATGTTAATTTTCTTGTACAAATCTAATCAATATGCAGTTGGGATCGAAATTTCATTCAGAAATTAATTTACGACTAATGTTTATACAAACTTTTTATTAAATCGTACATTTCCTTTATTTCTTTTCATTTTGAACATGTTATAGATATGAACTATAAACCATTATTACGATTTTACGCTATTATAACCGAAAGAAACAATATTGAACGCTTGAAAAATTATATAAGTAACATTGAATTCGGATTCGTAAAATGCATTTTCAATTTAAAAAAAAAATCTTACTTTCCCTCATCATATTAACAATGTAGCGCATTGTTAATTTTCTAGTACAAATCTAATCAATATGCAGTTGGGATCGACATTTCATTCAGAAATTAATTTACGACTAATGTATATACACAATTTTTATTAAATCGTACATTTCCTTTATTTCTTTTCATTTTGCACATGTTATAGATATGAACTATGACCTATCAACTATAAACCATTATTACGATTTTACGCTATTATAAATGAAAGAAACAATATTCAACGCCTGAAAAATTATGTATGTAACATTGAATTCGGATTCGAAAAATGCATTTTCAATTTACAAAAAAAAATCTTACTTTCCCTCATCATATTACCAATGTGTCGCAATGTTAATTTTCTGGTACAAATCCAATCAATATGCAGTTGGGATTCTGTGAGGAAGAAACAATTGAATTATATATATATTTATTTTTTTGTGGGGATTTCGACTGTTCGCACAGTAATTTTCCGGCTTCGCTTCAATATTACTTAGATTCCTTCGCGATTGTGTCTTATTATTTGCGCTACGCTTAATCAAACTTTGGCAACCGTCCAATTCTTTATTGGACGAGATTCCCGCCGGATCCATCCGTCCAGATACCAATCTTTATTCTGCGGATAGCATCTTAACGCCGGAAGGTCAATTGCACGAAGACCGCCGACATCCAACATAAATAATTAAGATGTTTACTTGTAAACAAACCTCTGTATAGAGAGTATTTTCTGGAAAACTGCAGCTCTGCTCATTTTCTCTTGCAATTCCAAACACATTTTTCAATTATTTTTTTTTTAATTAATTAAATTATTATGTATGTTTTTTATAATCTATTATTTATGTACAATAATTTAAAATAAATACAAATAACAACAATTATTATACATTTCATACGTATTAAAAAATGAAATTAATTAGTATTTAAAGACATATTAAAAGGATGTACGTTAAGCGAACTCTGACCGTATTGTTCAAATTTGTATACGTTAGTAAATAATCATATATGTATTATTATTAACATTAAAAGAATTTACGTTAAGTTAACGCTGAGTGTTTTCTTTTACACAACATTTTATGTCTATTAGTTTTCTATATTTTTACACATTTTTCTAGATTTTTTTTTTAAATTAATTAATTAATTAATCATATAAATAACTATTGTACAAATTCAAAGTTCTCACATTTTCAATGATTTG